CTGTTTTTGGCGGGAATCTCTCTTTGAGCCTTGAGCAATCTCCTATCCAGAAAACGCCATAAGCAGCTTTTGTTGACAACTTCGGAAGACTTCAAGCGCAGTACTGGACCGATGCGTCCATAAAGCCAAGGAGAGATGAAAATTTCGCTGTCGCAATTTTCACGATCCACTACCTTTAAGGCGAGATTGAATGAATGGAAGAGTTTGAAGCTCACAACGATTTTTTTCTCGTGTCATATATTACATGGGAGATGTAGTTCCTCAACTGGCCTGATTGTGAGAAAGACTACTCAAATAGGAGAAAAAATCATGAAAGATCTACAGGATGAAAAGTTATTTGTTGAATGAGGACATGTAGGATTTTGAGAGGTGATAGGTAGATGATCAGCAAAAGCTCTCGGGAACTCAAGATGAGATTTCGTGAGCATAGAACAATCGCAAAACATATTGCCTCACCTCGTCAGCGTTGTTTTCTTTTCTCTTCTTTGGTTTGCAAACTTTTTTCTTTTTCGATGCCGGCTCTTCGTCATCGTTATTCTAAACAAGCGCATGTTGAGCAAAAGTCTCGCAAGGAGGAGTCAAGACAATGCACGGCGCTGAAGCCTACCGCCTCGGCCAGCTCTTCATCCTCCTTTCGCTTTCTTTGGAGAATGCGAGATCGACGACTCTTCATTGAAGAATCACCACTTACATCCAGTTTCTCCCATATTTCCTCATCAGCTGATGCGCCGTCGTCAGATGAGTCTTCTGCCGAATCGCTGTCACAATTCATCTCTTTCTCAAATGTCACAGCTTAGCTTCAGCAAGACAGATACATACAATGCGATAAATAACAACCTTCAGCTCTTCCCACTCCTGTTCATCGTTTCCTTCCAAAACCGTCAAAAGGCTTGGCAGTTCAGATGTAATGAGCACACGATTCAAGCGGGTTTTGCAATATATCTGCAATAACGTAGTCAATTTCTGTAATCAAAACCACCAGGACTACTTTATGAGCAAGCTTCTTTGTGTCGATATCATGAACCCGGACAAATCTGTCAATGCCACAGGTCGCCACATACGGAGCAGTTGGATGTGCATCTATGGAACGAATAGCACCGGCTTGACCTTTGTACTTGCAGACAGGATGGACTGAAAATTGAACGAAAATAAAAGCTGCAATGGCCGTGAATATACAGCACCACAAATACTTCATCAAGTCACCGAACTCCACCGGATTTCAGCAAAACCGGCGTCGCATCGTCATATCTCCTTTGAAAATGGATGAATTCTGTTTCCACGGGAACCTTTCGGCTCAGCTCGGTGAGGCGCATCTTACGAAGAAGTGCCCGCTTGGATAGGTTGTTGCACGATAGACGGTCAAACTCCATTAATTTTTATTTTTGCTTACGGGGGTTGCTCACTGTCATTATTTATCGCACAGGGCAACATCTAGAAAATTTTGTGAAATTTGACCGTTTCCGTTTCCCTGACAAACAGGCACTTCTATATATTAGAAGCGGCGCCCTTGGACAGATTTGTCAACTCAATCATGATATGGTGATGCGGCGTGGAGTGGTGACTCGGTGAAGTTCGGTAATCATAAGAGGATTCTCATTTGTTGAGCAGTTATAGTCAATACTGAGAAAGACATTGGAAGGATGTCCTGCACATGTACCATTGAAGGCTGACTATATCGCAAAAACTCGATTCTTAAAAGAACAAGTGTGTGTCATTTTAAATGGCCTAGATCTTCGAAATTCTCCGAAAAATATCAAGTCCAGATAGTTCTTCTTAAGTAGTTGCAATTGAGAATATGACTTAGAGAAAACTTGGTTCACGCAGCACAGATAGATTCAACATCAGCGTATTACCATGCAAGTCATAGTAGCATAAGACTACTCACTTTTGCTCCGTAAGTCAAACAGTCCCATTTCGCCGATGGAGTTGGCTGCTAACACATGGTTATCCTTGTAACAGCGACTGACAGCCGTGATTGGCACATCCATAAACGGAATCTTTTTCACTGGACGTCGCTGTGCACGAGGATCATATACCCTCATCTAAAAGGCAGATGAAAACGCACTTTTCATTGAAGATGAAATGACCATAGAAACACCGCACTTTTGTTGATAATTAGGACCGCCAAAAATAAGAGATTTCCACCAGACTTTTACAAGAAGCTTATATCAAAAATAATACAATCCTTGAGAGCAGACTATGATAGCCATCTGTGCAAAAATTTGCACTCTTTACCGCCCAGAGATTCATGAGTGCAACAGGAGAGCGACGGTTAAAAATTGCAGCAAACCATTGCAAACTAAGTTACCTCATGAAGTTTTGTAGCTTCCAGGATAGTGCCATTGTCGTCCATGAATCTTGCGTCCGTACACATTATGGGCACCTCTAGGCCAAGGAAATCCAGAGGGACCTTTGAGTAGAGATCAAGCTATCAAGCAAAGCATTAGTGTTGCGTAAACTCACGTTTCGAGCTGACCAAACACGTTTTCCCGTCTCAATGTCCCAAGTTTTTAACAAGTGTTTCATGCCACCCGTAAGCAATTCATTGCGTGTAGATGAACCTGAACCAAACAACGTAAAGCAAAAAGATAAACAGCTTGATTCCCGCTAGTACCTCTCATAACTTTGACCCCTTCGCCAGCTTCCCATTCTTTACAGCTTTCTCCAGATTCGCTCCAAACATTGACCATTCCTGATTCTACGCATGATGCAATTTTGCCGCTGAAATGAGGAGCCTAAAGTGTCATCTATCCCAAAAAAAGCTCAACGGAGCTACTTAATCACCCGAATATATTTCGTACCTTGGATATAACTACAGTCGTTTTCAATACGCATTGAGCTTTTCTACCGTA